ATCATAAAAAAGACCAAGTTTACTGGTCTGATAGAGCCTGGTGAGACCTGGGGACTACGGCCCCTACTTACTACTCAGGTCTGGAATTGAACTCACTCCCATGGCTTCCAGCCCAACAACAGGCATACAGGGTGTACACCTGTACCGGGTAGATACACTCCTTAGAATGATCATCCATGGGAGAACAGAAAGGCAGTATTTGCATAAGGAGATATCTCAGGGGGCAGGAATGCATAGGAAAGGACACAGGGAAGAGATAACTACAGGGAGGAAGAGGGAGGAGAGCTGTTACATTGTGGAAAATTGCAGTTAATGTCATGAAACAAAATGTTTACAAACTGCTATATGAAAAAATGAATTTGCTCTATAAACTTTCACTCAAATCACAAAATTAAAAAAAAAAAAAAGCCACCACTACCGGCACCACCACCAACAAAACAGGAGGTCAAAAGGTAAAATAAGTAGTTAAGATGAGGGATATAAAACCAAATATATCAGTAAAGCACATCACTGTAAATGGATTATATAAAACCAAAAAAAAAAAAAAAACCCAAACTCACTGCTGTCAAGTTAGATCCAACTCACAGCAACCCCTCCTTGGGTTTCCAAGGTGGTATCACTATGGAAGTAGATTGCCCAACCTTCTCTCCAATTAAAAGATTCAGATTGTCAGATGTAATGAAAAAATAAAACCCACTATACATGGGTTTTATTTTTATAAAACATAAGTGGGTTTATATACCCACTATATATGCTATTTAAAACAGAAACACCTTATATAAAATGACAAAGAACGTCTCAGATAGAAAAGAAAAAGGTATCCCATGAAAACATTAATGAAAAGAAAGCGGGTGTAGCTACAATAATCTAAGTAAACAAAAAGCAGGGAGGGGGAGTTTCAAGAAGACTAAAGTGGTTAATAGGAGCCCTGGTGGTGCAACGGTTAAGCTGCTAAAATGAAAGGTAAGCAGTTCAAACCCACCAGTGGTTCTGCAGAAGACAAGATCAGGCAATCTGCTCCCATAAAGATTCCAGCCTAGGAAATTCTATGGGACAGTTCAACTCTGTCCTATAGGGCCACTATGAGTCAGCATCAACTTGAGGGCACACAACAACGATCTACAACAGCTCCAAACCATACTAGCACGTGTCCTCCTCAGACAGCACTCAGCAGCCTGAATGCAGAAAGCAAGCAGATGGGTGAACTGGCCTAAGGCTGGGGTTTCACAAAGCAGATCATCTCAATGGAAAGATGGAGACAAAAGATGTCAGACACACCAGCAAGAAAGTGGGTGAGGAAGAAATAAAGGAACTGAGACATTGGACTGGGAAACCATGGAAAGTTCAGGGACTATGATATTTAAGGTAGAAAAGAAGTTTGGTGGGATAAAAGGATCTCAGAGAGTAGGCAATTGTGCAGAGTCAGGTATTGAGGTTTCAGAGGTAGAAAAGCTTGCAAATGGGGTGTGTGTGTGGCAAGGAGTCCAAGGTATAAAACTGTCACAAGACAATCCTTCCCAAAATGAGCTCAAGAGCTGACTATTAGAAAGGTTCTCTATGGCACTAGGCTCAAACCTACTGACTTTGAAGGCCTTCCACTATCTAGTCTTCAGCCTGAGTCTCCTGACCCCACATCACTCAGACGTTTGCTCCTCATCTGCCTGTGCTCACACTGTACCCTTGATCTGAAAGAAGCTCTCCTTGCTCCTTCACCTACCCAGTGTTACCAACCTTGAAGGGCCAATCTCCTTTAATATAATATGCAATGGCTCTGATATCCCAACTGCTCCTTCTTTGACCACATTTGGTATAAATAATCTAGCAGTTTTCTTTCACCAGATCACAAGTTCGCTGAGTATTGAGGCTGTATCTCTTCATAATACCTAATACATTACACACAGACACCAACGTTTGTAGATTCTTTAGAGTTTTTAATAAGTTAAATTATTTCCCATTCGTGTTTTTCATTCACATTTATCTATAGATTGGGATTTAATTCCAAGAGATTCCCTACCATGAAGTCCATATTTGAAGACTTACCTGAAATAATCGTTAAATGTACTAACATTGTGTTCTACTTTAAAGGAACTCTGCAGTGAATTTATAAAGTAAAAACATACTTTTGTAATATGAACCATGATTCACTAACATACTACTTTGTTTTGCAATATTCAAGGTGTTCTTAAAACAAAGCTCACTAAAAGCCCCAGCCATGAATCCAAAGTAACTTACAATGTAATACTTTCTGTTGTTAAGGCATGGGATTATCTTGTGTACTTATGGCTTTTAATGAGAGATTACAACTTGTCAAATGACACTCATGAAAGAAGTTTGTGTATATTATATGAATGTGTTAAATGTATCAAATAACTTAGATGTACATCTCACCAAGAATTAACTGACAGAAAGGTTATAGGTTAACATTAATTTTGCCTTTACAAGTTACTCTAACTTATCATGATCAAAATTAAATTACTTATTTTCTACCTCATGTCAACTCTACCTCTTGAAAAGGCTAAGATTCCTCATATAATTCCAGCCCAACTATCATATATTTGGGGAGGGGTATGTGTATATATGTCTAAGGGTGCACGTATGTGTATGTACTACACATATATTTTAACAGGCTTTATGTTGTTGTTATGTGCCATCGAGTGAGCCCCAACTCATAGTGAGTCCTTCTTGGGTTTCTGAGACAGTATGACTACAGAAGTAGATTGCCCAACCTTCCTTCTGAGGAGTGGCTGGTAGGTTTCAACTGCCAGCCTTCTGGTTAGCAGTCAAGTGCCTTAGGCACTACCTTACCAGAGCTCCTAATATAGAGAGGTATAATTTATACACAATAAAACTTGCAATTTTAAAGATAAAATTCAATGAGTTTTGACAAATGTATAAGTAACATAACCACCACAATCATGATACAGAACATATTCATCACCCCAAAAAGTTCTCTCATGACTCTCTGAAGTTCAATCTCCTAAACTACTCCTGTCGTCTAGCAATTACTGATCTGATTACTGTCACTAAAGTTCTGTCATTTCTAGGATTTCACATGAATGGACTCATTTAGTATGCATGTGAATTTTTTTGTGATCGACTTATGTCACTTAGCATCATGCTCTTAAGATTCACTCATGTAGAATTTGTTTATTCACAAGATGATGGAAGCTTTGTTTTGTGTGGACATTTTTTCATTTATCTTGAGTACATACTCAGCAGGAGTATTGCAGGGTTTCATGGTAAGTGTATGTTTAACGCTATAAAAAGTTGTAAAACAGTTTTCCTAAGTGTGTATACCATTTTGCTTTCCATCAGCAATTTAGGAGTGTTCTACTTGCTTCACATCATTGACAGTATTTTTGTTTAATTTTAGTCATTCTAGCGGGTGTGGAAGGAGCTCTGGTAGCGTAGTGCCTAAGGCACTTTGACTGCTAACCAGAAAGCTGGCGGTTCAAACCCACCAGCCACTCTTCGGAAGGAAGGTTGGGCAATCTACTTCCGTAGTGATACTGCCTCAGAAACCCAAGGAGGGGTTGCTATGAGTCGGGTCCGACTCGACAGCATATAACAACAACAGTGGGTGTGGAATGGAGCTCTGGTAGCATAGTGCCTAAGGCACTTGACTGCTAACCAGAAGGCTGGCATTTCAACCCCCCCAGCCACTCCTC